CATGATCTTGTTAGCTTGTAGGAACATACAAGTCTATTACATCGCAGCAACTTTTAAGGATAATCAAAAAATGGAACAAAATTTAACACATTTCCCCCTTTAGTTGTTTAGAAATGTGTTTTATTATTCATTTTATTCGTTTAATGCTAACAATTACTAAGATGTAAAGCTGCAGCTCCTTTATTCGAATAATTTATTCTGAACAATTATTTCCTAAATTGCTCTTAACAACAACAATTTAAATAGGAATAATGACTTATTTTAGAAACATATTTACTGCAGTTAATGAAGATAATAATTTAAATTAAACCCTCAGTTTGATTTATTCCCCAGACAACGCCTAAATTAGTTCATATATAAGTAACATGCCAAAAGTAATAATAGCTTAAACACGGCAGTGTCACACCTTTTTTCTGTGATTTATTACTTTTCTAAACTTTAGAGACTAATTTGTTGGTCACAATTCACAAGCTTTAAAGTCAAAGCTGAAATCTAATCAATAACCAAAATGTGATGCAGTTTTTCGTTTGACATATATTGTTTGTTTGTTTGTTTTGGGTTTTACGTCCCATCGACACGGTATAGGTCATATCGCGACGTTCCAGCTTTACTGGTGGAGGAAGACCTCAGGTGCCCTTCCGTGCATGATTTCAGGCACGAACGGGCACCCGAGTAGAGCCACCGACGTTCCGTAAGCTAGCTGGATAGCTTCCTCACATGAAAGAATCCAAAATTCCTGTCGGGATTTGAACCCACAGCGGTGAGGGGCAAGTGGTTTGAAGTCAACGACCTTAACCACTCGGTCACGGAAACATTACGCAACCGATTGAAAATGGTATAATATCTGATTAAACGTCCGCACTCTTTTTCTTTGCTAGCGTTGTTTATAGAGCATTTTTATTTCGAACATTAACTAATATAATAAAACAACTGTACACATAATTAGACAGCGTGCATAACAGAGCGTACTTCTGTTAGCTTTCACTTTTATTTTGTCGGTTTAAGAATAACAAACATATTAAAACTTAGGAATGGTTGTAAAAGTGTAACAATTAAATACGTTAGATACATTTTCATAAATTTATGAACACCTGTACAGGAAAAAACATGCTGACAGTTGGACAATTTTGATCTTATACGGTAGTTGATATGTATATATTATAATTATGTTTCTTTCTCAATCGTTTCTCTTGACTCATTCTGAGTGGGGTTTCAAAATTATAAAAGCCCACACACGAACAATAGATGTCAAGGTGCAAGACTTTTAGAAAATACTCACAATTTGAGGTAGCGTCTTAGATTTACCTTTAACAGGTATGTAAACTCAATGCAATTTGTTTGTGTGGCCGCCGAAATGAAGCTTATTGGTAAGCATGCAATTCTCTAAAATAAAATCAATTTATTTGGGAGTATAATTAAAATTACTAAGAGTTAAATCTGCCGGTGTGTCTGTAATGACAACATGTCCTACCATCTGTTTATATAGTTAACCTGCCGGACCAGATTTCATTTATTGGTTAGGGCGTGGTCATCCTAAGACATAATAAAATATGTGATTAAAGTAATTATTAATTTATGGACAGACTATAACATATTTCTCCTTTTGTGTATTTTTTTAACATCGATTTGTCAAGGCGATAGCTCTCCTAAGTAAAGTATCATCAAAGTAAAGTAGTTACTTCGCTTAGATCTTGACGGTGATAATACAGCGTTAATTCCCACAACTGTCAATCAAATGAAATTAAAACTTAGTTATTGTAATGTTAAATGATAATCAACACGTATTTCAGTGAATGACTTTTTTATCTTGACAACCTTGTTTAATCAAACCATGGCGACACTTGTTAATATGTGATTTATAGATATTGCCAGTTGTGTTTTAACTTAACTATTTTCATATGACATTTATTTGAAGGTAATACTTGCTTTCATTGACAAAATACGATTTTCTAAGCGGTTGCCTCACACATGTTGTCAATTGTTACATGTAAATGTATCAATTCTGTAAATATGTTACGATGATGTACTTATGGTACAAATCTAATAAAATAAATGTTCTGGGGCCGTATTCACAACTGATCTTAAGTTAATTTTTTGACTTAAATATAAGATTTTGCTTATATTTTGAGAAATTTTCTTAGATTTAAGATAAGAATAACTTAAGAACTTAATAACTTAAGATAATAATAATAAGATAATAAGTTAAGATAATAACTTAAGAACTTAAGATCAGTTGTGAATACGGCCCCTGTTCTGTTCTGTATTATTTTGCAGTGACTCTTTGCTTTGCTCCAGTTCTATCCAATGGAATAAGCTTTTAATATGTTTTTTTTCTAATCGATGATACACTGCAATTATTTTAGATTATATTTACATTTGCTTTCGTGATTGCTTTGAGATCTTCGGACGTTTGGAAAAAAATAATGTTGTTTTTTTAGCTTCAGATTCTAAGAGGCTGCGATTTATGAATATTGCGGTTGATTCTTTGCCTGTATGTAAATGTTTTGGTTTTGAGAACATTTTCTGATCATTTTCTTAGATGCTTACAAAGTATGTCCAATTACTGCTTGTATGGTATCCAGGTCTTACAATATACATGTTTGAAAAAACAATATTTAAAAGATAACTAATATATACGAATACTTATTTGTAATAACAAATAACAGCTTATCTTGCATAAATATAAATACTTGCTTGCCAATTTACAATTCATGATTATACTTTCTTTAATTTCTATGAATATTATGAAATTTATAACTCGACTTGTCTCAGTTTGTAAAAAAAATGTCTTCATAACACAAGCAAAGAGATATAAATTGATGAAAACAAAATATCGCGCAACAAAAACATCTTCTCAATGAATGTACGACCGATGTTAAAAAGAGAGAAAAAATACAACAACAACAACAACAAAAACACCCAAACAGTTCAAAGAATAGAAAAAAGGATATGTTCGCGGGGATAACTTGTAGGCTAACCGAACAAAACTAAGAACAAAATGTTTTTGCCAGCCTTACAGTATTATAAAGTATTCAAAGTTATGTTTAACAACTGATTTTGTTTGTTTTAACATTGAATAAAAAGGATAATTTGTATTGTGTTCCGCAGAAAATCTTCCAAAATATTCTTAAAGGACCAAAATGATTCAGATGTTTCATGAAGACTTTGAAGTTTGGCCAAATAAAATGGCAACGGTAAAGCAGCCTGTAATAAGCTAAAAATTACAATACCACATTGCGAAATCATCCCGACCGCCTTTTTGTCACTAATCAATTCAGATAACTCAACATTTTGAAAAGCCGAGTATGTTAATGGGATAATTTTTCATTAATATCAGATTATTATTAAAAAGGAGGCTTTTGAAAATCATTTTGTAGTGACACATGTGAAATATGAGGACAGATTAAGTTTGATTTATACTATATCTCTGAAGCGTATATAATTATTTAATTGATAACTCAACCATTTTTGCTAAATTCTACAATATTAAAAAAGTGCGCAATACTGAATAGTAAAGAAAAAGTATTTCATTTTTCTTTTCTCTTTCAGTTTAATCGTAGCTTTAAATGCAATTGGTCAAGTTAATGATAGTCAATACAAAATCACTGTAAAATAATTGATACGAAATATGTTTTTTGTTGTTGTCGTTTTTTATGGAATGTTGGCTGAACAATTTTGCAATGCCAACATATATTTAAATGTTGAACGCATTTGCTTAGTAAGATTGGTCGTAAAAAAGAAAATAGTTAAGAGACATTCATTTCTTAAACTTGTTCCACTATCTAGATAGTTATTTTTTATCGTCAAAAATTTTAATTCTTGAATTTCCTGTATGTTATGAGTTTTGAATTTCGAGCATACTATAAATTTATGTTCGCTCTGTTCGGCTAATAGAACATGTAGGTCCATGATGACAATTTTGAAAGGTAAAGTTTATTTCTTAAAATCAATCGGCGACCGTTAAAACTTTTTTATTGATTTTTTCTTTCTTTTTTTTTCTTTTTTGTTTTTTGTCAATTATATCTTTTTATATTTTAAACTGGCCAAAGATTTTCGAATTCAGTAAGTCATACTTTGAATTTCTTTTCACTTTATAAGGCTCGTCGAACAATTTTTATAACGTGTATGTAATAATGATGATGCACTTATTGTTACAATAAGTCATGAAAAAAAAGTTTGATTACAATTATGAATCATTCTTTTTCTTAAATAACATAAAATTTAAAAAATTAAAATAAGTATCGAGAAGTTAGTATTGATATGTTGTTACTAAAATGAATTGTTGACAGAAATATTTTTACAGGTGAGAGTTTCATATAAGCTTTAATCTTTCTACTCAATCCTAGATGCAATTTATGTATTGAAATCTTGGTTGAAAATATAGAAGAAGAAATAAATATTATTGCAATCAATAATTTTATCATTTATAATTGATTTCTCACGATTTACACATGTCAATTTGCACATCGATTTTAACCAAAGTTTTTCACTTAGGGAATTTGTATACATTACATATGATAATTTTTACTGTTAATGGTCCTTACCATTAGTCATGATAGAAAACCATGGAAATTATACAAGTTTTTCACGCTGGAGGCATTTGAAAGAGGTAGATAGAAACGTAAACGTTTGCGAAAGGATGACGTTGATTTCTTATAAAATCAAAATGAACTCAACTATTTATTGAATGCTTGGTCATTTCCTCTAAATAAATTAAAATAATACTTAAAACACAAATAAATAGCCATAAATTAATGTATACATGAAACGAATTAATGTCAAGCAACGATATAATTCAAAATGAATACAAGTATATTATAATATTATATAAAATGACCAGCATCAAAAAGGCCCCCAAACCGCTTCACCCCCCCCCCCCCCCCCACTTCAAGAAAAAAAATGAAATGTAAGAATTAAGCGCAAAGGAAAAAGCAAGACTGATGAACTTCAGCATTAACTTTGTGCCATTTCAAAATTAAGAAAATAGATATTATACTCACGTATTCCTGCGTACACTACAAGTACTATAGACAAACACTTCTTAATCTGTACCATTGCAATTGTTCAATCACCTGAAATTAAAAATGTATATATATATATATGTATTTTTTTTCAAATGGTTGTCCAACATATTTTTTCTATAAACACTACACGAATGTACACTGTTTATACGGTTACCCAATCCTCTACTGGTCGTGAAAGTTAGAGCCTTTGCTATATGTAACAAGCCATCACAGCCTGGACACCCTGGATTCTGACCACGCTCTATACTGTATGTAGGCTAACTAACATTTAATTTTCATCTGAATATCACGTATATGATAATATGTTTCATAAAATGGAAGATTGACAAATCTCATTCACGAAATTCAGAATATTAAAGATTCTGGCGTTATTATAATACATCAATAGAGATGCGATATAAGCGGACTTGACCGTTAATGTCCCTTCGTTTATGTTTTAAATCCAATGATCGACAGCTTAGAAACAATCCTCTCAAAGTATAATGTTGCACTATGAAGCAGATTATTCTATTCACTACATTGCCGAGTAACCATCATTGTACAGTGTTGCAGAATTATTCGTGATCTTCCTGTACAAAATTTTCAATTTATCGTTAAAAATTCGTTTTTATATTCATTCATGTATATATTATTGTATGTACATGCCTAATTCAAAATAAAATGTTCTGTTCTGTTAAAGCTGCACACTAGTTTTAATAATGTGGGCTAATATTGTATTTTAAGTCATGTACATTTATATCAGAAAAATTAAAATCTTTACAAGTTTATAAACAATATATGTATGTATGAATGAATGAATGAATGAATGAATGAATGAATGAATGAATGAATGAATGAATGAATGAATAAATAAATAAACAAACATATAAATAAATAAATAAAAGATTTATATTGATATACTGTTTTATTATTTACCATCTTAAATGCTTAGCAGCATTTGCCATGATTAAGACAAATGTTATTTTATAAAGTTAATCAAACTTTATCCTCAATACCTTTCATCACATATATATATATCTATACTAAACCAACCTATTTATTATCCTACAATATAACATTCTAGTCTTAGTGGTCTTAGAATCTAAATAAAAGATATCTATAAATTTTACCTGCGACAGTAGACGAAATTATTTTCTTAGCACGCACTAGTGAATTTCTTCTTTTGTTCTCATTTGAACACATTCCAAATATAAATAAAACTTATCAAATATAAGTAATATTTTCAACTTGTACAATAGTTTTTGCCGACGCACCAAAGCATACTAGACGGAAGCAAAACGCAGACGAATCAGAACAGTTGAAATCACGCCTGCTTGCATATTTCGTATGCAAATTAGCCAACTTATTTTCATTTCGAATAATTCGGCAATAAACATGTCGATTTGGTCTGTGAAACAAACGTAGGGTTTTTTTTAAGTAATTTTTTTACAATATAAATTTATATCTGATAATAAAGGCGTGCCGGAAGTACTTAACGTCTTTGGCGTGCCGGTAGTAATGAATTAAAAAATATATAAAGAATAATAATACAAAATTAAAGATCATGATGACAAAATGTATTTCTACTGTATATAATTATGTAATTGTTATAACATAAAATAACTCTTGAAAATTAGTGCATGTCGTAAAAGGCGATCTAAGGCATGTCTGATACAAAATTTAAATTTAAGAAGGACCTTAGACGTAAAGAAAAGACGTAAACGAAGTTCATATACGTATAATGAAAGAATTTTAATAAACAATAAGACATCTTGGCTGACTCAAACCAAAACACTATGAAAAAAGACAAACAAAAACAGGGAAAGATGGCGTAAAAATCTGCTTCTTTACTGATATATCAAAGCCATTCAAAGAATTAATACATAACGTACGTAGATTACACCAACTGGTACCCGCATTATATTTCGCAGAAAAAATAACAAAACCAGTATTTTCATTACATTACATAACATTACATTTCATGGTCTTGCATTGCATTGCATTACAAATAACTAAACTTTTTATCGCTGTAAACTTGATAACAGCTGCTAAAAGACAAAAGAAGTTTAATAATATTTTAGGATTTTCTGTGAATAAAGTTTTCGCAGACATTTTCGATATAGGTACATGTATTTGATTTTCAGAGAGATGACAGTAGAATGTAAGGTCAAACATTAACTAAGGTGCTTGACATTTTCATTTAACCCCAAAACATATAACAGAAGATTAAAGATAGTTAAAAAATATTTGTATGGACATAGATGAGCCAGCCAAAAACACATGCATGAACTGAAAGCTAGCTAGAAGATCGAAATTCAGAATTTGCAAAGGCCGAAAGGTTAGCCCAAACTTCAACTCCAAACTTTTAAATTTTGATCTTCGATCTAGCTCGAAATTAAAGTCTGGCACGAATTTTGGCCTTTGCAAATTATGAATTTCAATATTCGAGGTGGCTCGAAATTCAACCATATTCGGCTGTTGCAAATTTTGAATGTTGATCTCCGAACTGGTTCGAAATTCAACTTTAGCTCGAAATTCAGTCGTATTTTGATCTTCGAGCTGGCTCGAAATTTAACTCCAGCTCAAAATGCAGCTATTGTTTGCTTTGAATTTTGATCTTCAAGCTGCTATGACCTGAATTTCGACCTCCGATCTTCAATGTCGATACATTTTTGCATAGTTCTAAGTTATAATATATGCCAAAATACTTAAGAACTTTTGGTCGAATTGACCATACGATAATCGTTATAGAATACATAAGAAAAGTTCTCGCCGTGGCTAGGATTTGAACACGCGACCACAAACTTATTAGCAAATTAGTAACAACGCTAAGCCATTGAATCGATTCATCTTTGTCGCAGGTTGTACTTATTGTAATGAAGGTAGGTGTACAATCAACGTAAAATTACAAAGCTGTTCAATATGTGTCGATACCGTAAAAGGCGCAAAATTCAATAAAAAAATATACCCACACGAACATAAATTAAATATTTTTAATAAGAGTCCAATGTAAAAATCGTTTCTAACGGTATATAAAAGAATCTTGATGTTGTTGTTGTCGGTGGAATGGAGTCGCACCAACACATTGGGGTCAAATGGCAGCTTTCTTGTTTTGCAGGTGAAGGAAGACCTCAGGTGCCACTCCGTACGTGCGGGCACCTGACTAGAACCACCGATGTTCCGTAATCTAGCTAGATAGCTTCCTTGTATGAAAAATTTCAAAGTCACTGTACTATATTTGAAATAGATACAATAATTACGAACGTAAGTTAAAAACCAATTAAGATTCTTTCCTATGAAGTCTTTCAAAATTACTGAGTGGAAATTATCATTTATTTTTATATAATTTGCTGGTTAAATGCGCATGATATTATGAATTGTAAGTAAAAAGAAAATGCGATGTACTAGACTAAGTATTTATTTTAAATGTAAATACATAATTGTAACACTAACAAAAATAAAATGAAACTTTAAATTAAAAGTTCGTTAAACTCATACCAATGATTGCGTATACGAGACTGTTACTTTCAAATATAACCCTTTACTGTACATAAGCTCTGCAAATTATAGCCAGAATCTACATGCCGAAAAACTGGTAACTGATTTCCAAAGCATTATGCCGAGTATAAAATCTATGGTGCTTTATGTAAGAAAAATGCAACCGAGATAGCCATGCAAAAATCGGTGAGAAAGTTAAAACATTCCGATGATTTCTTGTCAGTGTTATTTCAACCATACATCGGACAGCACGTGCACGGATACATTACGTATAGACTATTGTAATATATGAATTATTATCACAATGATTCAAGTCTCAATGATATAACGTATACATCACATAGTGTAATAGTAAGTCCAATAATAATGATAAAATAGTTTAATTTGTTATACCACGTGTTTTGTTAGACAACGTATTATGATAATGTGAAAAAAAATTGTGCTTTGTATATAATTATGGTTTTATTGCTTAAAATCAACGTCAATGTGCTTTAAGAAAATAGATCATATCCCAGGTCACACAACACCTTAGCCATGGCCGAAGAACTCTAGGCATTGTAACACCGCACTTTGGGGTCAAACGCACTTTGGGGTCCGACCCCAAAGTGCGTTAAACTTCGCACCGCACTTTGGGGTCCAACGCACTTTGGGGTTAAAATCAAGAAATTGACCCCAAAGTGCGTTAATATGCTACATATCAACGCACTTTTGGTTCAAGAGATCTAAAGGTGTCATCTGAGTTCTGCTTAAATACTGAGTACTAACCTATTTTCTATCTGCGACATTGGAATATTTGAGGTGGAGCTCGAGATGCCTGTCAATACTTTATGATGCTTAAGTGATAAAAGTTTCATTAAATTTACTACTTGAAATATCTAAAAATTGTGTTCATATAACAAAATTACGGTGGCATAAAAGTGACATTTGCATTTTTTTGTTTTTAGTTTTGTATACATATTTTATTTTAGTTTTGCATTCATTTTTTTCCAGTTTTTGCATACATATTTTATTAGTTTTGCATTCATATTTAATTTTTGTTTTTCGTACATATCTTATTTTTGTTTTTTCATGCATATTTTAGCCAATAAAAACAGCCTTCAAATCTCTCAAACAGCCCATAGGTGAGTATAAAACTAGCACAGTGGTTTGGTCACATTTCGGCCCATTTTTGGAATCGGTCCAGTCGTTTTCGGGCGGGCAAGTCTGGTTTCGACCGACCCTTTTCGGCCATTTTTTATATTATATGTATTTTACATAATTATTGTTTTTATTATTATTATTATATATTATTATATTAGTGTCTATTTTGGAAAGGGCTGTTGATTGGTGATCAGTTATTATTCCATGAATATGCACCACTCAACCCCACCCCCTGAGAATTGAGAATTATGAAACTTAGGTCAATTCTTTAGCACATCCAGATAATGTGCAGAACTTATATGCCAGGTGTGCCGGCTCAAGGTCGGGGTCACACCTTCAGGTCAAAGGATAAAGACTTGGGTTTCATGTCCGCTCCTTATCTCCGAAACCCCATGAAGGATTTTAAGGCACCTTGTGACAAATGTTAAAAGTGTTGTTGTTTTTTTTTTGATACCTTCAAAAATGAAAATATTTGTATTTGCAAATGGCATTTGCAAATGAGGTACTGTAATTTACAGATGGCGAAGTGTTTGAAAATGTTGTTTACAAATGGTGTAATTATCCAAACCTCTACTTTGCAAATGGCGTCATGTAAAAATATGTACGAAATAACAAAAATAAAATATGTACAAACAAACTAAAATAAAATGTGTATGCAAACTAAAAAAGAATATGTATGCAAAACTAAAATAAAATATGTATGCAAACTAAAAAAGAATATGTATGCAAAACTAGAAAAAAATATGTATTCAAAACTAAAGAAAATATGTACGACAAACAAACAAAAAATATGTACGAAAAACAAACAAAAAAGTATACAAAAAAACTCACTATAACTGTACTCATCATTGCCAAAAAGCAACATATGAAAAATATGGTCCAGGTAATTGGTCTATGTGTATTTTTTGGATAATATAGAAGAACATCAAAATAAAAAAGCTTCTAAGAAAAACAAATTAAAGCATAATGGGCCTTTAAAACGTTATTTTTAACCCTCGGGGGGATCGCTACCCCACAATCCCCTCTATACCCCCAGTGAGAATTTTACATTATTCTGAAGCTCCGCTCTTAATGTGCGATTACTTAAATAGTTGATATCTTTAGTACTGCCTGTTCGGACTACTACTTAAAGCCGCATCTACACCTAGTCAAGTTTCTTATATGTCACATTTAGCTAAATAAATGGCTCTTTCAACATATTATCAGGCACATTTTTTATTGAAATGTCTTACTAAGATTTCCCATAATTTATCTATCCTATTTCTATAAAATGTGTAAATAAAAAACGGGAAAATAATGCATTAAGCTAAAAACAATGGAGTTAATGAAAGGTGTACATTCTTTTAAAATAAATAGGAAATTTGAGAAAAAATATTTTAAGCTTAATAATTGATACAAATTGTTTATTTGGTGATTTATTTGGTGAAAGTTCTTCACTTACTAATCAAGACCATTTAAATCCCTATTGATTCTACTATAATTCAGGGCACATGTTTGTGTCTATTTAATACCTAGATTTATTGTTTACCATTGACTTTGACTACAATATTTTATTTAAAACATAATGAACATTAATTTTCTATGACCCCAAAGTGCGGTCGTTTGCCTGATGTTTAAAAATGCATATGTAC